TTCCGACCTCGGGAGTCAATTGAGGTATTGTGCTATTCATTCATATGCAGATGCCCACACATCTTACCGCTTCCTTTCCATTTTCAAATTTCCTTGACGCAATCAGGGAAGTGAATTGTGATCTGAGCATGGTTAAGAAATGGTCTGATGACCACATGCTGCAACTAAATCCTGATAAGTGCTCAGTTTTGCATGTCAGTAATTCTTCTCTACAGGGAAAACTGAGTTCTAAGAGGAGTAGTATGATAATTTCATTAGATGGCCTTTATCGCTTTGTTCTTCGTTAAGAGTCCTTCGTGTCCATCTGGATGATACTCTTATATTTTCTGAGCAGGTGAGCCGTATCTGTCGTGTTGCTGTTGGCAAGGTGAGAAGGCTACACAGGTTGAGGTTCATACTGCCGACATCAGCCAAACTTCAAATAGTGCAAGCAGTGGATGACACTGCTCATTGAGTAGTTCATCCATCTGTTAATTACTGTCTCCCTACTTTTTCTGGTTGTTTAACGAAAGAAAAAATCAAATACTGACAAGACTCAAGAATAATGCTCTAAGGTTTGTTAATAATTTGAAGAAATTTGTTAATATTAGTGAATTCAGATTCAAGGCGCATACACTAACCATACAGCAAATCTCTGATCTCCAAACATCAATTTTGGTTCACAAGACGCTGCTGCCAAACCAGCCTCATCTGAAAACCAAGTTGGTACGAAGATCTAAAGTTTGTGAGAGCAGGAAGGCTTGCTGCAGTTACCGCGGGTCACAACTGGGATGGGGGAAAAAGCCTTTTCCTGTTTTGGACCCCTGGCTTACAATGCTTTATTTACTATAAGGGGTAAAACAAACAAAAATTACAGGCATTCAAGATGAACGTTAAAAATATGCTTTTGTAGATATATTTCTCGAGAATGTTGCATTTTAATTTACTTGTAATTGACAAGTTTGCCTGTAAAACAGAACTTTGTATCTGATGTACGCTGGATAAAATAAAGACGTTATTTATTTATTTATAATAATTATCCGTAGTGACTTCACCCACGACCACAAACATAATATATTATCAATATTCACTGCGTCATGCACAGTTAAAAAATCATGTTACGATTAAAAACCCTACAGCGATTAAATTACACAATTTGTTTAATCTCCGACTAATAAATCTTACAACACAAAATCTTAAAATTAAAAATGCCACTTCTCTTCAGCTTCTCGAAGTGTAGTTCTTTCATAACACTTTTCAGCGGTCTCATCTTTCCATTATAATGTTCTGCAGTGTATTTGATATATTTTTAATAATTTGTATTGTCTATAGTCAAATGTTGCGTGTTATTCCATTGCATTATTTTTAAACACATGCCAAGTATCAAAGTGTCTCTGTGAATGCGTGTCGCCAATTATTAAATCAAAACATAAACATAACTGTAAACAACCCTACTTTGACGGTTCTCATTGTATATTACTGCTTATTGTTGCTGTTAGTTCAAATTAGCTGTTATCAATGCAAAAAAATAATACTGCTGCTCCCTGTTGGTAAACCTTATAACTGTTCAATGCTATTTGTTATACCGGGTGTCCGAAAAAGAACTGAAACATTTTAACGGCAAAAACTTATACCAAATAAGAGACTATGTTTAATGTTCTATATATTGCTACGCACCATAAAGCTTTCTATACTATAGATCTATTCATTAACTTAGGCCTACAAAATTCCTTTGGCTATTAATTTAGCCCACATAGAACTCAAAGTCATTTCTTAATAAAGATAATACCTAACTTGTGTTTTATTTCTGTCTAATGAGGTAAGTCTTTATCTTAATCTTATAATATATGAATTATTTTAAGAATAAATAGATTTGGCAAGTTACACTATGGAATTTATTAGTGAAATACAAATATAAGATAAGTTATTGGTTGGATTTGCTATAGGGTCTAACAATGGTAAATTTACAAAATGGTGGGGGCTTCCAAAGTGGATAAAAGATTCTATGCTATAATGGTTATATTGGGTTGATTTCTTCTGAAGTGATTAATATGTGAGCTCTTGATCACAGAGAGGGGTGATCGTGCCGGTTCCAATGATATATTAGGCTTCTTTAAAATGCAGATAATATAATTATTGTTCTGAAATAGGCTAGGTTTATGATGCTATAATGTAATATGCCAATATCCAAAGAAAGATTCCAAATGGTTTCACTGAATTTAATGAAATAAAATAAGATTTGAAGATTAAATTTTGAATAAAAGTTCAATTTGAAATATGTAGATCTTGATGATTTTAAGTTAAAATTGGGCCTATTAGGCTATGCTGATTCAAAATGTCCAATGAAGATTTGTCCTTAGCTATTTAAACAAGATGGATGATGGTTACCAAATTTGGAGTCTCTGCCTTCACCTTTGTATCATATGTAATAAATAAAATAGGGGTTGGTTAAATTTGGGTACTTTTCAAGGCACTTGTCCCTAATACTTATGATTAAAAAATTTAAAATTTAGGTTACACTTTGGGATGAATTTACAGCTGGTTAATTCACATAAATGACACTTGCCACAGTAATTTTGATTTTCTTTGGATAATTTTGAAAAGTAATACTATATTTAAAATGTTATTATTATATTGCAATTTTCTTACAATTATATATTATTCTAAGTAAATGATTATTGTTGGTTTTTGATAAGTACATGATAGATATGGTGAGAATTGGCATAAATATTATATTTTAACATAAAATAGGATGATGTTTCTGTGGGGTGATGGGATATTATGTAAAATTGAACAAAATTGGATAAAATAATACATATTAACAAGGAGGGAGAAGCATATTAAATAACTGATAACACATTATCAGGGGCATTAACAAACATTATGGGAGAAAATATACAAAATAATAGAGAAATTAATGTTAATGATGAATGGATGACATGTAATATTACAATATGTACATATTTAAAGCTTAAATTCTCAAGTTTTATTACAAACTTAGTAAAACTCGATATGAGCACTATTAGTGGCCCGGCATAAATCTCAGCGAAATTAGACCTCTTCCCAGGTATTGGTGAGTACTACTCGTACTACAGGGGGTGTTGCACCAACACATGCGACTCTTCTCTGTTGGAGGTAATTCAGATCCCGAATCTGCACCGAGTAGACATCATGCTTTACTGCCCCCCAAAAGAAAAGTCCAGAGAAGTCATATCTGGACTCCTAGGAGGCTAATGGATGGGGCCAATTCACCAATCGTCGAAAAGAGTATCTAGCACTTCTCGCACAGGCAAACTGTAGTGCTGTGGCACTCTATCCTGTTGAAAATATACAGGGCCATTCCCCATCTCAATGTCACCCAACTATGGGAAAAATACTCATCTAAAATGGCACATTAAATGGCACCGTTTATATCCCCTGAAATACTGACCAAAACCTGGGAAGAGGTCAAATTTCACTTTGATTTATACCGGGCCAAATGGTGATCATATCGAGTTATACTAAGCTTCTAATAAAACTTGAGAATTTAAGCTTTAAATACATATATAAAACATTAAATATAGTCTCGTATTTGATATCAGTATTTGCCTTTAAAATGTTTCAGTTCTTTTTCGGAAACGCGGTACATTATACGTCCATTATACAGGGTGGTAAAAAAGTCCCAGGACAGTTCAATATTTTAAAAAATAATATAGATAGAGCTACAATACTTGGTACAAAGTTACAGGGCATAAAACTCTATTTAAACACATATTCAGTGATCCAATAACTCTTCAGGGGGACGGCCCACAAGGAGTCGGAAGAAAATCTTAAATGGAAGCATAGGTCAATATGCACATCAAATTAAAGGTCTTTTTTTAGTAGAATACAATGCCGCAAACCGCACTTCAAAAGGTTGATCCTGCGCAAAATGGCAGATGTTGAAAGATTTCTTGAATCCGCCATTTTGAATCTTTGAACGACTGCAATTTTTTACTCAGGAATTCTTTTGAGCTTGAATTTACGGCATCGTAATCTACAAGTGAAGACCTTTAATTTGATGTGCATATCGACCTATTCTTACGTTAACAATTTTTTCCCGATTCCTAGGGCTGTGCCCCCCTGAGGAGAAAGCGTATAATAGCAATGTAAATTAAATGAATCTTTAAACATCTGTCATTTTGCGCAGGATCAATCTTATGAAGTGCGGTTTGCGGTATTGTATTCTACTAAAAAAGACCTTTAATTAATTTGGTAATAATTTGGCTTGCTTATCATAAGGCCAAGGTTTCAGCCCAATCCAACCAGTAGTTAATTCGTGATTGAACGTCAAACAAACAAACAAACGAACACACACACTTTAACATTCTAACATTAGTATTATTTGTTTCCCTGTTAAAACCGTAATTTGCTAAACAATATCCTCAGTACTTCGGGGAAGTTTTGGTAGGAGAGAGTCGGGTAAAATAATCAGTATTTGATCGGAATTATTTTCACCTATATCGAGTAATCTTCAGTATAATCTTTGCTCAATAGTAACAACTGATATGTTTCCCTTTGTACTGTATTTTGCAATTCGTGGGTAGACTGTGCATGGCTTGTTATAAACACATGTTATAAGTATTTTGTTTACTTATTCCTTGTTGTTATTTTTTTAACCAACATGGTTACTTGGACACGCTTAAGGCCAATGTTACAAAATGTTGACTTTCAATTATTTTTCAATGTTTTTTCGTAATTAGATTTCTTATGACAGTTTTAACTGCATGTTTTTAGGCCGAATATCAAGTTTTTTCTAACATTTGAAGGAAATCGTCGAAGAAGTTTTCGAGATCTTTGTGCAAGCATACAAGAATTCATACAAACAAGCAAACATTGCTCATATAAGAGTATAGGATATAGGACGTATAAAAATGGTACTATAATAAGCTATAATAATAATGGAATAAGATTGTTTATAAAAATTGTTGAGTTTAAACATATATGTAAGTAAAATTGAGCAAAAACTCAACCTTGAACACGATCTGTCGTTATTTGGCAGGTGACAGGTATAAATACCAGTTGGTTTTGCAAATAATTTCAGTTGGAGGTAGAATACGATTGGGTTTACACTGATGCTTCTAGCTTTAGAATTGCCACGACTTCTCATTTCATCGGTGAGTTTTAATTTAATAATATGCAAATAACAAGCTCTAACTTATACCCTCATAGCCCAAATATCTATCTAATTGCTACATACAACAAAGGTTTTTTTCTGTAAAATCCCCTTTTCACCCGCCCTACTTACGAGATTTTGTCGATTTAGATATCATATTAAAGCTTAGCCAATAATATAGTGGGGTAACGAATCTTAGTAAAAAGGGCATTCTCTCTAGGCTTCGTACAACAGATCTTTGAGGAAGCCTTCGGCATAGGTCTATCGTCCTATTTGTTCTGTCACTTTGTTTACAAGTTGTTGATCACAATTTGCATTTGTGGTTTAAGTGTGTTCTTATGTTTTGTGTGTGTCTAAAGTTATGTGCTTAATCTGTACCGTTAATATTAGTGAGTAAAGTGGTGTATGGATTTCATAATCATTATTTTACTACATACCATTGTATTTTACCACAACGGGCTCTGACGCTAGTATAATTTAAATGCATTAGTTACTGTTTATTCATAGATTTACCGAAAACTCTTAATAATATTGAAAACTCTTGGCCGATTCCTAAAACAAGAGAAAATATCACATTCTGTAGTTGTATTTAATCTACGAATAATACATGGGCTTGTTGAATAAAAAAATTCAGTTTCAAAATCAAAACATTTAAGAATGTTTTTAAATCAAGCGATGAGAAATTCTTAGTCACTAGTAGATTTAATGTTATTGCAATTGGGAATAAATTGTAATAAAACACAAATTCCACAGACCATGCTGACGGCAGTGGGCGTGGTCTATCTACTGGTTGGAGTATGCTTGGCCGACAAGACGCTGGACTTGGAGAATGGAGTGATCGTACATATGTTTGAGTGGCCTTACTCAGAAATCGCAAGAGAATGTGAGGAGTTTTTGGGCCCGAGAGGATTTGCTGGCGTCCAAGTTAGTTTAAATTGATATTATTTTATTTCCTCAGGGGCACAAACTTAAAATGCATTTATTTTTAAGTCCCCTTTTTCAGAGCTGACATAGATTGAATAGTGTTTAACCAGCACTATTCCATCAGGGTAAATGTTTTTCATCACACTATGATGTCTTTGGCTGTATTACATACGTTAATTGGTGGCTGAAAGTTACGTTTTGCTGGCCATGCCAGCTGTCATCGTAATTTGGGGACCGAACAGGTTTTTAAAGGCCGGGACAGCAAAATCAGCTGTCCGCTTACTTCCTCTATCTGGCGCTGGTCGATTTTCGACCACTAAAACGTGAGTTCTCAGTGGCGCTGATCTATTATAGACCAAGAGGACATGGGTCGGGTTTTTCTATTATTAAAATATGAAAGCCGTTTTAAAACACAATAAATTTATACCATTAGAAAGATGAGATTCTGAGGATTCGTTTTCATGCATAAAACATTATTGAGTGAGTATTATGTAACGAGAAACATATTTTGAAAAACTAGAGAGTTCAAAATAGATTTTGGCGGTGGAAAGTTTTGGTCACCTGACTACAAAAACAGCTGTTTTTGGTGATTGTCAATTAAATTGTATACAATATTAGTACATATTCTGAAACTAAAATAAATTCCCCACAATTCCCTCTGACTCTATAAGGTTGATCGTACAAATTTTATTTGTTTTTAAAAATGTCATAAAAACTATGTTTTTGTAAAAAAATCTTCAAAATTCTACATTCCAACGTAAATTTCTCTGAAATTTTAGAATTCAACTAAATATAACTATATATTTTCAAAAAGATCTTTTATTACCTATTGTACAGTATCATTTCATTTTTTGTTGATGAATTCTATTATTTCCTTCGTCACCAAAAGAAATTTGGTAGTTTTTAAAAAAATAAAATATGTATGTAGAATTTATTTTTTTATAATTTTATTTTTATGAGTATTTAAAAAATATTGGTATTTCTACGTAGGGAACCATATTTCACACAACCTTTACGTTTAGATAAAATGTGTAAAAAAATTATTTTGTAGTTTTCTTGTGGGCTGCTTTTGAAATTTCTAATTTGCATAATCCAAAAATTTGCAAACCTTTTGCTACTACGCCTAAACGCATTGCTAAGAAAAAAAAATTTTTATATTATTATATTCTAAATTTATCGCTGAAACAGAAAATATATATATATATGTGTACTTATATTCACAAATAAATGTTCTGTGGTAAAATATATGATACCACTACAAAAGCGCCAAAATATACCCGCCACTGGTGAATAAAATGACCGCCAGATTTTAAATACACAATCAAAATCCATAGCATTGCAATAGAATTGTGTTATTGTCACCGTTACCTAGCAACTATTTATTTTTATTTTTGCTGATTCCTCAAACTATTTCTTCACATAACCTTAAAGTTGTAGTTGTGTTGACTATCGGTGTGCATTATTATAGTGGTAATAGGGTGGTATAGTGTGGTGAAAAATAGCGTTCGTACCACGGACCGAAATGGTTTTGCAGCTCTCGATCGATTTAAGAAAAAAACAGCGCTGTAAATGATTAACACCCTTGGAGAATTGCATATTAGCTGTGACATAGAAATTTATAACTAGACAAAACAAAAGAATATATAAACGAATTGAATTGCAAAAACGGGCTATTAGAATATTGTTTTAGTGTACTTGATCGCTAGGGTTTAAAGTGAATCTTTTCGACCCGAGCTCAGTTTTACGACCGCAGCAAAGCCGATGTCGGAAAATGAGCGATATGAAATGAGCGGAAAAACGACCTCTCAAAAGGACTTCCAATTTTGTTTCAATTTTGTTAATGCAAATAAGCAGCTGTTTAGTAAGCTATTGACAAGAATGCAATAATAAGCTACAACCGATTAAACAAATCGATAAATAATTTGGCTACATGCGATTGATTACAGTCGGCGTTAATAACTGTTTAATACAGCTGACTTATACTCCTTAAGGAAATAAAAGGCGTTTTACTCCAATGGTAGTAAACTAGCTCTTTTAGACCCACAACGTATGTTTTACAAATATATTTTTTTTTGCAGTATGACGAAAAGAAGTTTAGTATAATATGAATTCAGAAAACCAAGCAATATTCTTCAATCAAACAGCTGTTTATCAAAGTATCATAACTGTAACACAGTATATAAATCATGCAATAACTTAAGAAAGTACTGTTTATAGGAAGCAAATTGGTATAACTTTCAATATGGTGCAATTTTGTTTCTAAAAATGTTGGAAAGTTGAAATGTTTACATAATATTTACAAAGCCTACCTTATAATTTGTGTGCAGTTTGAACGCTTTTGGTGCTTTTAACTCGTTTAAAGCTGTTAGTGGGACACCATGTACATCATCCCTATTTGGGCCTGAAATTACCGTATTTGATTTCCCTTTACAGCTTTCACCTTCTACAGAGCATATTGTGGCGGAAGGCCAGTGGTGGGAGAGGTACCAAGTGGTCTCGTATCATCTGGTCAGCCGCTCAGGCGACGAGGAACACCTTCGAAATATGATAACAAGATGCAACCGTGCTGGGGTTTGGTAGGTCTTAATTTAATTATTCAAAATAGATAGGTTTGTTTGACTCCGATCAAATTTGAAGATAGTCAACCGTGGAATAGGTAACGTTTGTAGAGAGATAACTGTACACAGTTTGTTTTAACTTAATTTCTACTTTAAAACATAATTTCGTAAGACTTAAGCCATTGTAAAAAGTGTAGCTAATATATCGTGTTAAAAGATTAGTAGTATAAATACCCCCGTCGCAGCAAACCTGCATACTAAGCGAATTTCCATTTACCCGGCTTGATTTCTTCTAAAATATCCCCTATAAATTTTCAGATTTATTTTCTATTTAAATAACATTAATTTTAGTGAGTAGTTAGGTTTGTTGCTACGGGAAAGATGTTGAGGTGTGTTTTTTCAATTGAAATATTGATAGCTTAGTATGAAAAAACCAAATTGCCAAATTTGATTGAAATATATCCATAAACAAGCAAACTAAAACAGTTTATTTATTCTCCATAAGAATAACATGGGAATTTTAAATTTAACATTTTTTTAAATTTTCTCCGTAGTCAATGAACATTCAAAAACACTTCAATATACTAAATTGTTTGTTTTTTTAAAACTCTTCAAAACGGTCTAGAGAGAAATTTAGAAATTTAAAGTTTTTAGGGTCAAAAATGAGAAAACCCCATTTTTACCCCATAAAACCCCCCATACACCCCTGATCCCATGGTCCGATTATGCTGGTTCGCGAACTCGTTCGAATAAATGTAGATTTACACGTTTGTACCAAATTTCATCAAAATCGGATCAATTTTGCTCGAGTTATTGCGCTAACGGACACACATATATATATATATATATAAATATTAAGAAAACTGTAGTGATTAGGGCTACTATTTTGATATATAAAAACATTATTAAAAACTAAGTACCCTTTTTTTAATTCATTTTATTTAACAACGACTAGTTTCGACGATTATGCCATAGTCATGTTGTTTTTATATCTTAACAAATACAATAAACATTTTATCTAAATAATAAATACAATCATATGATTTCATAGGTTTTGATGACTTTAGATTTCTTCTGTTTTAAATGGTCTTTATACTATATATAATAATTTTCTCTCTTAATTTAACTGCAGGATTTTTTCAAATATTGGATTGCATTTGTTGATGTTCATTGTGTTTAGTAAATTTTCTGGGTGTTGTTTATAGTTTTTGTAAATGTAAAAATCTTCTTTAACATGTAATTTTGATTTGTCTTTTTCATATTCAAGGATTTTTAAATTTTCGTGGATGCTTTTGTATTCATGGTCTGTTTGTATTAAATGTTCTGCAAAATTAGATTTCATTGTTGTGCGGTTTCCTGATCTTAATGCTTGAATATGTTCTTTGAACCGTTTTTCAAAAGTTCGACTTGTTTGCCCAATGTAGGATTTATCACAATTAGAACATTTGATTTCATAAATACCTGATTTTCTCATATTGTCTTGATTTTGGTTAGCTATATTATCTTTTGAAATTTTGTTATTGATCATTTGAAAAGCATTATTTTTTGTTTTATAACTGATTATTACATTTGAACGGTTGAAAGTTTTTCTTAGGGCTTTATTAATTTTGGTATTGTACGGTATACAAATAAATTCTTTCCTCTTTTTGTTTTCTGTTCCTGAAGTAGTTCCTTGTGTTTGAAGTTTTCTCTTAAATTTCTTCTTAATCATGTTTTCAATTATAGATGGATTGTATCCATTTTTCACTGCCAAATATATAATAGTATTTTTTTCTTTGTTAAAGTTTTCAGTGGACATAGGAATATTTACAAGTCTGTGTGTTAACGAATGAAATGTTGCCAATTTATGTTGCCATGGATGATTAGAATGTGAAGGTATGATACTGTTTGTTGTAGTTGGTTTTCGGTAAATTTTAAATCTGTGAATGTGTTTTTCTTTTGAAATGGTTATATCTAGAAAGTTAATGTGTGAATGTTGTATTTCTTTTGAGAATTTAATTTGTGTCGAGATTGAATTTATGTGTTCGTGTAAATTGTTTGCTTCTGTTTGTGTTCCTTCAAAAAGGCAAAGGATATCGTCAACATATCGGTGCCAGTATATAATTTTGGATTTGTAAGGGTTGCCTTCAATTAAAACTTTGGTTTTCTCTAAATTATTCATGTAAATGTCAGCTAGAAGTCCAGACAGAGGAGAACCCATAGGTAAACCGTCTTCTTGAATGTAAAATGACTGATTATATTGAAAATAATTTTGGTTTAATGTAATTTTGGTTAGTCTAACTAAATCATTAATTTGAGTTGTTGTGAGTGTTCCATGTTCTATTAATTGTTGTTTCATTATTTTAATTGTGTCATCTATCGGTATGTTCGTGTACATGTCATTTGCATCAAATGAAAGAAATAAAGAATTTTGTGGTATGTGAATATCTTTGATTTTGTCAATTAATTCATATGTATTGGTTACATTTATATCATTATTCATGTTTATGTTCTGTTTTATTTTGTTATGTAAATACTTACATAGATTGTATGTAGGTGCTTGACGGAAATTTACAATTGGTCTAATCGGAATATCTTGTTTGTGTGTTTTCGGTTGTGCTCGTAATGTAGGTGACTTTGGATTTGGTACTTTCAATGAAGATTTTTCTTTTTGTGTAATACTTTTGCAATTTGTAATAGTGGAGTTGACTATTTTTGTAAATTCTTCTGTTGGATCTTTTGTTAACAGTTTAAACTTTCCTTTTTCAAGAAATGTATTGACTTTTTCTTCATAATCATTCTTTTTCATGACAACGACTGAATTTCCTTTATCCGCTTTGGTTATTATTGCGTCACATTCATTTAATTTTCCAGTTATATTATTAATTAAGGATAGTTCTTCTCTTGATTTTCTAGTGGTATTTGGACGTGTATTTGGTAACTTCAATTTGCTCATTTCATGTATAATGTTGTGTCTTATTGGATCTTGTACGTCATCTTTTTGTTTTCTTATGGACATTTCTAAGTTAAGAAGATCTTCTTTCAGATTATGTTTGTGGTGGTCTAGGTTTAAATTATATTTGATTGAATTACCTAAAAATTCTTCTTCATTTTCTGTGAACACAATATCTGTCAGGTTTTTAAATTTTGGACTGAATTCATGTTGTATTTCATTTTCTATTTCTAATGTGTAGCTTACCTGGTTTTTGCGTAGCTTATTAAGTTTATTTTTTTGTGTGGTCTTCTTTTTGTTCATGATAGGTTCGATCCAATTTCGTATATATTCAAGTATTTCTTCTATTGTTTCACAATGTAATTTAGTCTTAATCTCGTTTAGTTTGTTTGTCGTTTGATTTTCAATTTTGTTTAGTTTGCTGTATAGAAAGTTGATTTCTTCTTTTACCCAAATCTTTTTTGCCGTATCAATTGTTCGAATTGCAGCTTGTGATTTACTTTTTGTATGAATTTGGACGTAATTTGGACAAAGATTTTCAGATAGACAAATTTTGTTAAACTTGATGTCTTCAATGATTTTTTCTTTCTTTAGGTTGAGGTATTTGTATCGATGGATCACTTGTTGGTTGTTAGCCATATTAATTAAGAAAACTGTAGTGATTAGGGCTACTATTTTGATATATAAAAACATTATTAAAAACTAAGTACCCTTTTTTTTAATTCATTTTATTTAACAACGACTAGTTTCGACGATTATGCCATAGTCATGTTGTTTTTATATCTTAACAAATACAATAAACATTTTATCTAAATAATAAATACAATCATATGATTTCATAGGTTTTGATGACTTTAGATTTCTTCTGTTTTAAATGGTCTTTATACTATATATAATAATTTTCTCTCTTAATTTAACTGCAGGATTTTTTCAAATATTGGATTGCATTTGTTGATGTTCATTGTGTTTAGTAAATTTTCTGGGTGTTGTTTATAGTTTTTGTAAATGTAAAAATCTTCTTTAACATGTAATTTTGATTTGTCTTTTTCATATTCAAGGATTTTTAAATTTTCGTGGATGCTTTTGTATTCATGGTCTGTTTGTATTAAATGTTCTGCAAAATTAGATTTCATTGTTGTGCGGTTTCCTGATCTTAATGCTTGAATATGTTCTTTGAACCGTTTTTCAAAAGTTCGACTTGTTTGCCCAATGTAGGATTTATCACAATTAGAACATTTGATTTCATAAATACCTGATTTTCTCATATTGTCTTGATTTTGGTTAGCTATATTATCTTTTGAAATTTTGTTATTGATCATTTGAAAAGCATTATTTTTTGTTTTATAACTGATTATTACATTTGAACGGTTGAAAGTTTTTCTTAGGGCTTTATTAATTTTGGTATTGTACGGTATACAAATAAATTCTTTCCTCTTTTTGTTTTCTGTTCCTGAAGTAGTTCCTTGTGTTTGAAGTTTTCTCTTAAATTTCTTCTTAATCATGTTTTCAATTATAGATGGATTGTATCCATTTTTCACTGCCAAATATATAATAGTATTTTTTTCTTTGTTAAAGTTTTCAGTGGACATAGGAATATTTACAAGTCTGTGTGTTAACGAATGAAATGTTGCCAATTTATGTTGCCATGGATGATTAGAATGTGAAGGTATGATACTGTTTGTTGTAGTTGGTTTTCGGTAAATTTTAAATCTGTGAATGTGTTTTTCTTTTGAAATGGTTATATCTAGAAAGTTAATGTGTGAATGTTGTATTTCTTTTGAGAATTTAATTTGTGTCGAGATTGAATTTATGTGTTCGTGTAAATTGTTTGCTTCTGTTTGTGTTCCTTCAAAAAGGCAAAGGATATCGTCAACATATCGGTGCCAGTATATAATTTTGGATTTGTAAGGGTTGCCTTCAATTAAAACTTTGGTTTTCTCTAAATTATTCATGTAAATGTCAGCTAGAAGTCCAGACAGAGGAGAACCCATAGGTAAACCGTCTTCTTGAATGTAAAATGACTGATTATATTGAAAATAATTTTGGTTTAATGTAATTTTGGTTAGTCTAACTAAATCATTAATTT